TTGAAAAATCTGACTATAGTTGAAAAGTTGTCATGCAACACAGACCATTCTTCTGACATTTTTTGTCTATGGAGGGCATATGGTTGTACACTTGCGTTTGAATACCATTGCCTATATATCAAATTTTACCTATTATATATTGTGTTTAAAGACAATACCCTTCCTCAATGTACTATTTTACTGCAACAGGTTATAGTAAACTATGCAATCTTACATTATAAAAATCTATGTTTATCTCTTCTCTTCATAATCACATGGATTTTCAAAATCTATCTATCTGTCTGTCATCTCTTCTAAAAATGTATACTGCTGTCCAGACTCAAGGTGGCCATTTTGTCTAAGTTATTTGGGTAGTGATTGGTTACTAACATTTTATGTGCTCACTTTACTGGGTTTGTAGCTATACAGGGGCTCCTGAAAAGGTCTTGGTCTGATTTTGGCATTGGTAATTGGCAATTATACAAAAGGGTATGTTGGGTTGTTGTTGTGGGTGCAAGGTTATAATGCAGTGGATGAAAGTTTTATGTGGCAAATTTAGGGTAAATGTTGTGGCTTCTGGTTCAGTACAGAAGGGTGGGAGTTTTATGCACTACTATGTGGGTTAATACAGCAGGTAGGGATTTATAAATATAGGTTTATATAACACTCTGAATTTAATCATATGTTTGGTGTTATAATGTGACTTATAGAGCAGGTTTGTACATAGGACATTGTATAGGACAGGGTTTTAGGAGTAGTAGTTTAAACTTTATTTGAATATCAGTGAATAATCCTATCACTGCTAATGTTGATAAAATGTGAATTTGTGGAGTCTTTGAAATAAAAATTTAAGTTTTAAGTCAAAATGGTTGTGTTATGACTTCTCAGTTTATGGAATAACCCTGCGTGTGCCATGCCAGTGTCACGTTTACAAAGGGAACCTAATCACACAGACAAGTCACAGACAAACAGAATTGCCCCTAGAGTGGCCGGGCTATGCAAAAGAGAGAGAGTAGTCAGAGTACAAGCCGAGTTCAAGGACAACAGAGAGAAGGTAAATGAAAGGACAAGCCGAGGTCAAGGATCAAGGTAGATGAAAGACAAGCCAAAGTTCGGTAACCAGAATAATCAGACACAGAGTAGCGCCCTATTGGGCTTACAAAGACCACAACAGGGCACCAATGAAAGGGGGAAGTAAGTTTAAAAAGGATTAGGGCAAACCTGATTGGTTAGCTTTAATTTAGAATTTATTACAACATGTGGAAGGTATTTTGACCTTCTACTTAGTCCTGTGATGTCATCAAAGCGCACCGTGTCAGGTGGCTGACTCGGGTGCTTATTTAAGGACACTGCATGCGAGCATGCAGCATTAAAAAACAATGCCGGTGGGACACAGCGGCGAGCGTCGAGGAAGCACCGGAGTACTTACTGTTTCCCAACTTAACGGATCTTATTTTGTCAATCTGAGAAAGATGAAGGTCTAAGTTCTGTGATTTTATCCATCACAAAATGATGACGGTCTAATTTAACAGAAAGATATAGGTCTACTATAGGCAACATAGTTGTTTAATCAGGTTCACTACACTACAAATGTAAGGACACAGGCATCTTTGCATTCTCTTTGACAGCTTCTCTTCTTCATAATTGTCTCAAAACTTCCTTTTTGGAGTGAAAGAAGAAGCACCTTGGCCACTTCAAAGCACTGAAGTGTTCATGGTGCATTGAGTAACCCTTTAAATAATTACTTATTTTTTTACTATTTTCTTATAATGTCATAACCAGTAGAATTCTCTTCAGAGATGAGTATTTCTTTGCCTGTGATTTAATTTTTGTATATTATTGTTTTAATATATACATTTCTATATGTTCAAACATTAGTCCAGATACATACATAGGCATTTAGGATTAGAAATATTTATTTACTTGAGCAAGCAAAATATATTTTGTAAATCATTTTCATTTAATTTCATCTTCACATAGGTTTATGGAGGTTCACACGTATCTTTATCCATAACATACAGTAATTCCTAAAAGCTTCTTTTGTGTCATCCAGAGTTCTGCGTTATCATGTTCTGTGCCAGAATTCATGGGATTCACGGTCCTACACAGAGAAAGAGATTTGTTATTTACAAAAATGTTAGAAAGCTTTCTCATACTTTGATATTTTTTTTTAAACTCGTATATTTATAATTTCTAAATGTTCGCAGTATACATTTCTCCTGAGTTCAAATTTCTACATGTAGGTTAGCCAGGAGAGGTGTGGCGAGGGCTGCACAAACAGAGTGATTTACCTCCTAAGTGGTAGAGAAGTAAGCAGTGAGACTGCAGGGACAATATCTATACACCAAAACTAAAGTTGTTTTGCTGCTTAGAGTGTCCATTTAAACACAATATAACAATATAATGTGACAGAAAATCTTGAAAGACTTTCTGTGTGCATGTTGAGATGTATTGGTGTATTATGTATTAACCTTAGTCAATGCAGATGCTAGCAGCACCGCAATTAATACTGCATGTTTTAGGTGTGCCCCCAAGTAATGTTTATATGACCTACAGGCGCTAATTGAGGGTGCTTTTTTTTACAAATGCTACAAAATCTTGTATTAGTAAATAAAGTGTATTCGTGCAAACACTTTTTTATCATGCTAATAATATTAAGGACAGAGGCAATTGTTCAAGTTCTGAACCAAAACAAAACCTGGAATATTAGCTATATGATTTCCACCAAATTTTGCCTATTTTACGTTAAGTTCACCCACACTTATTATATATCACTTTATGGACTACAAATAGGGGTTTCATTTCACATCGAAATATTTATATATGAAACACAGTTTAATATGAATAAAATCTAATTAAGCGTGAAAAATAAAGACATTTTAGCATGGCATTTTCTTACTGTGAGTATCATAATAATGTTTTGTTTTTCTGCAATAAAACACATATTTGTATACTGTAATGTCCCATGAGTACAAAAGTGCCCCCATGTAAAGGTTTGCTGTTTTTTTTTTGGAAGGTACAGGGCCAATTATGACCCGCAGTCATTGAAAATTTGATACATTTATTTTTTTGGCCTATGCGTCCTTTGAAGCAGTATGGGAGCCCAGGAAAGAAAATAATCCCAATCATGGCATACAATTTTTAAATGTAGACAACCCACAGTATTGCAAAATGGGTATGTCCGTTCCTTTTTAGAAGCCACTTGGTAGCAAAACATGGCCAAATTTAGTGTTCATAACTGTTGTGTGTTTTTATACACAAACAATGTAATTTTACCGTTTATTTCATTATCCTTATATGTTTTACTTCTATAAAACACTCATATTTGTAAAATGTTCCATGAATACAACAATACCTCCCATGTACAGGTTTTACTGGGTTTTTGGAAGTCACAGGGCAAACTATGTGGCCTGCCCATTTAAGTCTTCATACATGGATTTTCACACATTGATTTTCTGGGCCTATGTTGCTTTTAAAAGAGTATGGCACTGGTTACACCAGGGCATTTTGCATTTATCAAGGGAAATATAGCTATCTTGACCCATCAAGATGACCTGATACTGTGGGCACAAATGGCAAGTTTGTGTGGGATCTGCTTCTTCCCATGATGAATATGGGTTGATAATTATTACAGTAGCATTGATTTATTTAAAAATGTATATTTTTTTAAATCCTAGCATGTGGCACAGTGCATAAAATACAAAGATGGTTTCCCCCAAACCCTGACAAGTGGTAGAAACAGCTGAGGCTAAGTATCAGGTTTACGCCAGTATGAGGTGACAGTATGAGGTGCTGGTCCTTCAATACACAGATAAAAAAAGATATGTACACACTGTCTGCAATAAACAACAAAGGTACAGTATCAGTGTCTGTCAAAGGAAGAACTGAACAGCCAGAAAAATGCTGTAGAGTACAAGAAGTATATCGGGGGCGTATATTTGGCTGATCAGTGTATACAGCTTTATTCGAAAAACTAAATGCTGGTATAACAAAATTGCCATGTACTTAACCCAAGTTGCAATTTACAATTCCTATGTGCTATAGTAGCTGGCACAGTGAACACATACCCGTTTCTTAGTTTTAAATTAAAGTTTTGTTTAATATCTTATTTATTAAGTCCCCTTATCCTCCTGCTTTTACATCAGAGGATGCCCAAAAACTTTTTAGCAAGCATCCTCCCCCCCACACAGCCTGTAAAGAGTCACCCAGAGAAAGTGTTGTGTGTACCACTTAAAATGAGTTAGTCTCTGGCCCTTCCTACCATTCTTCACCTGGCCATTGTTATACAGACTGTTTTAGATTCTACCTTGCAGAACTAAACTATTAATATGAATAACTCTGTATGTGACTTTGGTTACTCTGGATTCCTGACAACGGTTTTTCCTAATTAGTATTTGATAGAAGCCTATACCGACTTATTGGCTTGTTATACCGACTACTCTGGCTTCTGGACCCCCTGACCTTGGCCTGTCCCTGTTTATTTTAAGCCCAGTCATTACAAAGTGACTACACCAAAACAGCTAAAAAACCTACATTTAGAATACTTTTTAAAATGCTATGCCATCATGGTGGTAAATTTCTTTCTTAGGGTGCCATACTCTTTTAAAAGCAACATAGGCCCAGAAAATCAATGTGTGAAAATCCATGTATGAAGACTTAAATGGGCAGGCCACATAGTTTGCCCCGTGACTTCCAAAAACCCAGTAAAACCCGTACATGGGAGGTATTGTTGTATTCATGGAACATTGCACAAATATGAGTGTTTTATAGAAGTAAAACATATAAGGATAATGACAAACCACAGGGTAAAGAAAAAGAAAATGACAGTAGACACAGTAAGAAACCATTATGAGACAAAAAACGCCATTAGAAAGAAAAGTAGATGTAGGAAATATACTTACTGGGATGCGATGATTCATGGGAGGCAGCCAGAGTTTGCAGGATGGTGGAATTGTGACGGAATCCTGGAAAATTTTATGCTTAATCATGTCGATCTCCCTGTTGGTATTAACATTCACAGCTCAATCGACAAGCTTTCTTAGTAAGGTGTCTGTTAGTTCGTTGACTTGCATTATCTTTTCCAGACCCATCATGTACTGGTTCCTGTCCTTGAGATAATGAGGGATCCTCGGCTTACTGAGCATGGCAACCTTTTTAAGACGGTTTATATCCAAATAGGAAACCTTTCCCATTGCCATTAAGAGCTTGAAATCTATGGCATGCCTGTGCCTTAGGATGTGTAGAACACCTTCAAGGTACACCTGATCCTTATTACAACATCCTGGCTGTGATGTGTCTGTCTGGCCCCTCTTTGCTCGTACACAATAATACCACCTGGCGTCTGGGTCTTTGACAAATATTTTCAAATGCTCAAATAATTCACTGAAGGACATAGAGCTTGCTTGGTAGATAGTATAGTACAACAGAGCAACTCTGCACAAATCGGGATCAGGATGAAATAAAAGGCTGTGGATGGTTGCCAGTCCTTCCTCAGTTGGATTTTCTGGTTCCAGACCATACTTTTCTCGACCTTTGCTGTTATTCCATGGCTGTTTACTGTTGTTGACAGTTCTAAAATAATGAGTTCCAATCTCATGTCTCAGTGTCCCTTGTAGCCACTGTTCTCGTGCCATAGAGACATTTATTGTCATTGTAGGTTGCCTTTTCACAGTTCCCATAGAGGCTTGTAAAACTACATCTTCAGTGATATTAACAGCGATCTCCCCTTGACAACCTTCAGTCTCCATGTATTTGCGTGCTTGCTGATAGATCTGCTTCGTTGTTAGAAGATTGCCTCCTGTAACTTGTTGATAGTTTTCATAATTTGTATATTTTTTGAGTGTGTTTTCTATGATATTAATAGCCACTTGCAGAAATCTGTTGGAAGCTTGGCTGTGCTGGACTGAGGCAGATGGCAGGGGAGGTTTACCAAAGTCAAACTGAGGGTTGTACATAAAGTTTGATTTGAAAAATCTATCCTTCTCTCTTTTTAAATTTGAAGGCTTCATTCCAACCAAATGAATATACTCCTTCTTAGTAATGTGTTCCTTCTCTGGAGGTGGGGGGACCAGCGACACTTTATCTTCAGTCAAACTGGGTTGAAAATGTTCCCCCTCAGAATCAATTGTTGGTGTATTTGTGAGCACTTGTTGTTTCTTATTGACTGACAGTTTCTTTGAACTGTGAATGCCAGTGTTTCCTTTGTTGGAGTTAGGATTAACAAGGTCCTTTTTGGCAGAAAGTGGTGGTGTAGAGACCAGCGACAATTTACCTTGAGTCAAGCTGGGTAAGACATGTTTCTTCTCAAAATCAATTTTTGTTCTTTTTGTGAACACCTTCTGTCTCTCATTGGCTGAAATAATCTTTGAGCAGTTACTGGAATCCTGTGTGTTGGAGGTAGGACCTGGAAGGTTCTTTTTGGCAGAAAGTGGCAGTGTGGAGACCTGCGACACTTTACGTTCAGTCAAGCTGGATAAGACGTATTTTCTCCCAGAATTGATTTTTGTTTTGTCTGTGAGCACTTTCTGGCTTACATTGACTGAAACATTCCTGGAAGAGCTTATGCTAGGGTTCCTTGTTTTGGGGATAGGAACCGACAGGTTAATTTTGGCATTATCAGGTCTGGTTGTCAGACGTGTGTTACACGCTGTCAGTGGGAAGTCAGGCTCCATTGTGCTACAACACCTGATAAATTCCACTTAACAAAAAACGTGAATTGCTCGGTGTGGATGCCCTTCTTCTTCTTTGCAATATCAAGTTATGGCTTCTGGTACCTGAAATAACTCAGTCTCTCAGGAGACCTGCAGCATTGTCCTGCACACTAGGTCCAGAGCTTTGACAGCAGTAGTAGCTGAGTCCTGGTGCAGCTCTGATGTCATAGAATATCATAGAGGAGGACAATCACTGCAGGTTTAAAGGCACAAAATATAACTCGATTTTACCCTTCACATTCAATTTAAATTTCAAGATTGTTTACTAAACTGAGAATTCAAAGTGAATTTCAAACTTTAGGCCATAGTAACTGAAATGTAGTCGTTGCTAAATAAGATAGTTTTTCCAGTTTGGCTATTTTAACCTTCAATTTAAAATCCACTTTAAATTCTCACGTTAGTGAATAACCCTGTCTGTAGTGGGTATCCTAAATAACATTTTCTTACATTGTCCCTTTAGATGACTGTGCCCCTTTCAGTCTCCTTTGGATCTTTATGTCTGTTTAATTGTGTATGTGCATATCGTACCGTGATAGGCTGGAATGTTGCCAACCAGGCAGATTAATGTGTGTGTGTGTGTATGTGTACATACAATATTACTGCCGATTGGAAAGTGCTTTGTCTACAGCTGCCATATACATGTGTTTATTTTTATTACATGTTTAATTTGCTAAGCGAATACGAAGAAATTGCATCTTATAATTCAAATCATTCAGAATTGATGGAGGATCTAAGGTATATTGGTATATTTTTGATAATTTCATAGGTTTCTCAGAAAAAGTTTTCAACTCTGTCATCTTCACACCTACACTCCTATCAATCATAAACTGATTTTACTATAATAACAAAAGATTATGTTAACTTTTCATGCTCCATCTCCATCAGCAATCGCTGCTTATAGTGATACATGGTGGCTGGACCTTGTTGACCATCAATAATTAAGGCATAGTACTGCTGTGTCATATATAGATTTAAAATGCTTCCCCTACACTGCCTTACGGAGAATGCATAGTGATCATGCAGATATGTGACTTAAGTGCAGCAATGGATCTATCCTGCTAGCTATTCTTTCATGACAATGTGAAAAGATAGCTGTGTGCCAACGAAAATATCTGTTAGCACTCCTCAACTCATAGCAGCATAGTTTATCTTCATCAAGACAAGGAAAGAAAAAGCACTTTGAGATACAATATTATTAACATTACTATAAGTACAGGAAATTAATAACGCTGATTTTTTTCTTCTGATATGACATAAATTAATTTATATGTACTCATGCAGAAAGTCAGCATTGCAATATTGAATTTGTCTCTCTTAACCAAATCATATCCTTTTTCTCTACTTTAATTATAGAAGTGTCTCTAGTCAGAGCCACTGTAAGGACATTAAAGCCCTTACACTTGTCAGGGGCCCATGCCAAAAACTCTCTGTTCTCGGGTTAACAGAACTGGATTAAGAGCCTGTTTGGCCTGGTGCTGATGATTATGACGGGCCTAATTACAGAATCTGTTAGAAAACACTACATCAGCCATACCCCCCAAGTATCTTGTGTCTGGTTGACGAGTTTTATATTTAGAGAGAGAGAGAGAGAGAGAGAGAGAGAGAGAGAGAGAGAGGCAGTGGCACACAAATACATACAAAGCATACTCAATCAATAAAGAACATAATATAAAATATGTAAGACATCTAAGACATCAGAAAATTTAATTCTGCATCCCACAGTCCACAGGCCTTTTTGTGCTGCTGCTTGATTGATTGGGGGAGTGTTCATTGTTTGCACCTGTGTGGGATTTGTATCCCCATAAAGGCACACCCCTAACTCACTGAGCTTGCTCACATTATTTGAAAGCAGCCTCTATTAAGTGGACTCTTTCAAGTAGGAGTTAGAAAACCAGGAGTTCAAACTAACAAGGGGTTCAAACTATCAAGGTAATTGTTTTTATTTACTGTTTAAAGGTGGAAATGAGTGTTAGCAAGATTGCTGGTTTAACTCAATGCACATCTTGTTGCATGTATGGATGCCTGGATGTACCCGTCCAGGGTCCATACCTCTGTGATGGTTGTGTGCGAGTGGCTTCTCTGGAAGCTCAGATTGGAGATCTTGAGAAGCAAATCGCAACATTGAGGGAGATTGACAATCTTGAGAGGAGTCTACTGCTCACTGAGCAGAGTTTAGTGGGGACAGGTAGTGGAGAGGGAGGAGGTAAGACAGATGGGGAACAGGCATGTAGCTGGGTGACAGTGGGGCGAGGAAGCAGGGGGGGAGGGAAGAGGAAAGGGCTAGCTAGTCCTGATTTGGTGCAACCTAGCAGATTTGCCCGTTTGAGGGAAGATGTTGGGAGCATCAGCTCAGGAGTAGCTGTATTAGAGGAAGCTGTTACTTCTAACAGCTGAGCTAACAGCCCCCCTAGTACGGGTGGGGATCAAAATGTAAGGAAGGCAAGACAGGTTGTGGTGGTAGGGGACTCTATCATTAGGAGAGCAGATAGGGCAATCTGCCACTCTGATCGGCTCAACCGGACAGTTTGCTGTCTCCCGGGTGCTCGGGTCCGGCATGTTGCTGACAGAGTGGATGGATTATTGGGAGGGGCTGGGGATGACCCAGCGGTCATGGTCCATGTTGGTACCAATGATAAAGTAAGAGGAAGATGGAAGGTCCTAAAGAATGATTTATGGGAATTAGGTAGCAAATTTAAGAAAAGGACCTCCAAGGTGGTATTCTCTGAGATATTACCTGTGCCACGCGCTACAGTGGAAAGGCAGCGGGAGATTAGAGAGGTCAATGCATGGCTTAAGTCTTGGTGCAGGAAGGAGGGTTTGGGGTTTTTAGAGCACTGGGCCGACTTTGCGATTGGGTACAACCTTTATAGTGGTGATGGATTGCACCTAAACGGGAGAGGGTCTGCAGTGCTGGGGGATAGGATGGCTAGAAGGTTGGAGGAGATTTTAAACTAGTAGTAGGGGGGGAGGGTCATAGCAATCTACAAAATGGAGATAGGACAGAAAGGAGATGGGCTTTAGCACAGTATAAGGGGGGTGGAAACGGGGGGAGGGGCAAGCTCAGAACAGAGAAGCTGTGTAATGTTGAAAATTCACAAAATATACAAGTGATGCATAATATTAAATGTATGCTTACTAATGCAAGGAGCCTAAATAACAAAATGGGGGAACTAGAGGCATTAGCATACACTAAACAATATGATATAATAGGCATAACTGAAACATGGTGGGATGAGACACATGACTGGGCAGCTAACTTAAATGGGTACATGTTATTTAGGAAGGATAGGAAAAACAAGAAGGGTGGTGGGGTATGTTTGTATGTCAAACATGATTTAAAGCCAAATGTTAAGCAAATGGAATGCGAGGAGGATAATGTGGAAGCTTTATGGGTAAATATCTGCTTGGGGGAAAAGAAGGGAAACCAACTATTGGTTGGGATATGTTATAAACCACCTAATGTTAATATTGACGAGGAACAACAGCTGTTTGAGCAAATTGAGAAAGCTGCAAATCTGGGTAACACTTTAATTATTGGAGATTTTAATTACCCGGATATAAATTGGGACAGAGGGACTAGTGCCTCAGCAAAGGGAATTAGGTTTTTAAACTTGTTAAATGACACCTTCATGTCACAACTTGTACAAGCACCAACTAGAATGGATGCTTGTCTGGACCTGGTTTTAACAAACAACGTTGATCTTTTGACCAACATTCAAGTAGGTGAGCACTTGGGAAATAGTGATCACAATATAGTGTCCTTTGAAATAAACTCAAAAAAACAAAAGCACATGGGGAATACTAAAACATATAATTTTAAAAAGGCTAATTTCAATAAGTTAAGGGAAGCTTTACAATATATTGACTGGCATAAACTCTTTAGTGAAAAGAACACTGAGGATAAATGGATCATCTTCCAACAAATATTACAAAGGTACATTTCTCAGTATGTACCGTTGGGAAATAAATATAAAAGAAACAAATTAAAACCAATGTGGCTTAGTAGAGAAGTAAAACAAGAGATTACAACTAAGAGAAGGGCATTTAAAGCATTTAAATCGGACAAATCAGATGCATCTTATAAAAGATATAAGGATGCAAATAATGCGTGCAAAAAGGCAATTAGACTTGCTAAACTTCAAAATGAAATAATGATAGCTGAAGAGAGCAAAACCAACCCCAAAGCATTTTTTAAGTACATAAATTCTAAAAACAAAACAAAATGAAAGTGTAGGTACACTAAAAACTGAAACGGGGGTGTTAATTAATGAAGACCAGGAAAAGGCAGGAATTTTAAATAACTATTTCTCCTCCGTATATATTAAGGAAGAACCCATGGCAATAGATGTGCAAATGATTGCTACTAAAAACTTGCAGAATAATTGTAATTGGTTAACTCAAGACAAGGTGCTGCAGCAACTAAAGAAAGTTAATATAAACAAAGCTCCAGGGCCTGACGGTATCCATCCACGTGTACTTAAGGAACTAAGTGCAGAAATAAGTGAACCTCTGTTTTTAATCTTTCAAGAATCCCTAATTCTTGAAATTCACTTCTTCACTTTCTTCAGGAAGTGTTCCGGAGGATTGGAGGAAGGCAGATGTGGTTCCTATATTCAAAAAGGGTTCAAAATCCTTGCCTGGAAATTATAGACCTGTGAGCTTAACTTCTGTGGCTGGTAAAATATTTGAAAGGTTATTAAGGGATAATATTCAAGAATTCCTTGAGAAGAACATGGTTATCAGCAAAAATCAGCACGGTTTTATGAAGCACAGGTCATGTCAAACTAACTTGATTGCGTTCTACGAAGAAGTAAGTAGAAGTATAGATCAGGGTGTTGCCATGGATGTGATCTATTTGGATTTTGCCAAGGCATTTGATACAGTTCCACACAATAGATTAGTGTTCAAACTCAAGGAAATCGGTCTAGATGAAAATGCTTGTTCTTGGGTAGAACATTGGC